TAACTAGTTAACACCAGGTGGACTGTGAGCTCGTTCACCCAACTAAGCAATAAAAAAAAAAAGATCAATAAAATATGCTGATTGGCAGGCAACGTTGAAGTAAATAGATCTATTCGCAACCCACATAAAACAGATTCGATAATATTGGAACCGTCTTGAATCACGAATAAAAATCATGATCGCGCTATGTTTTTATTTGGTGTTTCCCCTAAAACTACCACATAATTCAACGAGGTTTAGAATTATTAATATAAATTCTACTTGAGAATAATAACGGAACATGATTGTTTGACTGAAACGAGTATCTATCGAGTTTCGACGTGGAACATAAATAAAATGACTCAATGACTCAATCTCTCTAAAATGACTCAATCTACTATACGATTATAGCATACAATCAGATTTCTAACAAAAAATTAGATTGCCTATTCTCATGGCCAAAATACTAATCGAGTATGTGTAGAAATCCCAGAGACAGAAGTCCAATGCGCTGGTCGATTCAGATACGCTCTACTCTCAACACCTCAGATTCCATTCGCGCAGCCGAGGATAGGCAGGGCTGACGCAGAATAATTCCGGAGATAATTATTAACGAAGGTCACGACTCTAAGCATTGAGGATTACCGACGGAAGGAAGAGAACGATGTGTAGGTTCGATTGAATGATACATATGGCACCAGAGATAACTGTGCGGTCGTCCCGTCAACATTCGTATTCGATGGAACTAATTTCATTGTAATAAATCCAAAAATGATAATTCTCTCATGATTGTTGTTGTTTTAATAATGAAAGCTCACAACTACGGAGCAACAGAGCGCAATAGAGCCGACGTGCTACCCTACTAAGGCGAGACGGAGCATTGGCTCGGCCTCTCCAAACCATAACCTCTCGCAACTCACCTGATTATAGTCTTGGTGACTGATCGCAGGTGTTACAGAAGAAAAAAAAACTACGGAGCCAAACAACAGTTTATTTCTGAATGTTCTGAATAGTGATTCTTTTTTGGGTAGAAGGGATTACTGGTAGCCCGGAGGCCTTTCCAATTTCACTGGGACAGATGAGCGAGCATTTTTTTATCCTACCTAAGCTTATAACCTTGAGAGGCTATTTCAGCGTAACCTTAACTAGTAGGTGAGCTCACGGGGCTCAAACCGGAGTGTTGCTAACACTGACCCTAGCAAGAGCCGTGCTTCGCAAAATCTACCACTGGATCGGAAACGCGACCCACTGAGAAGATCCGGCGAAAAACTCAGTGGGCTCGAGCGAGCATGGGCTCTGTCAGGAGCGGTGAGATTTGCTTGCAGCCGCCCGAGCGCCTCCGAACCTGACAACTCAAGAGTAGCTGCTTCGTGAATACATCTACTACCAGATCGCAATCTCGGCCCGCTGAGAAGACCCGGCGAGTAAACTAAGCGATCTAATTCCGAACGGTTACCAGGGTCCTTAAGTCTGCTCCTAGTAATAGAGCTGCAGTTGTCTAATAACAGAGTTATTGAATGAAATGGGTGAATGAGAACTCTGTCGATCTCCCTCCCTTTTATCCTAGCGTCACGGCGCTAACCCTACATGTTACGGCCTGGCCACGGGGATCGGCGGTGCGAACGACGAAGCGGCGAATGAGGCGACCATTCGCGCGGCACCGTTTGCAGGCCACGGGTAGTCACGTTCGCCGCCGCGATTAGTAAGGAAGTCCGACACTGATTACTAATTCTGGACTAAGCAACGGACTAAATTTTTTTCCTACCTAAGCTGATGTCCTTGAGAGGCTATACCTAGCGTAACCTAACAAGTAGGTGAGCTCAGGCTCAAACCTGACAACGTTGCTGCTACTAGCCCTAGCAAGAGCAGTGCTTCGCAAAATCTACCACCGGATCGGAAACACGACCCACTGAGAAGAACCGGCGAAATACTCAGTGGGCTGTGTCTGCGGGTCAATTTGCTCGCCGAGCCCTTCATCGCAACTAAACAATATTACACTAGGTTTCAACAACAAGCTAAAACAAGGTCTCAATATTAATACGGTCTTTATTGACGACAGTACCAGCTTTTTATGATGATGCATGTGACTAGGAGATGTAAGAAAATGGTAGTGAAAGGTAGAGGGGGAAGAGGTCAACCGAAGATGACATTGATGGAGTGTGTGAATGACGATATGAGAGAGTGAGTGTTTAGCTGACGGCTGATAGAAGAGAATGAAAGAGAAAAATTAGCTGTGCCTACCCCACCTAGTTGGATAAGGTGAATAAAAAGAAAGAGAGTACCGTTTTTTTTATAATTGCGTTTTTATCATGACGACAACGTCTAAGTACTACATAAATCATACTCCACGACATATATGTGAGTCGTCTATTATCAAAGGTGGCAATCTGTGCATTCGAACAAAAAAATGTTATTGATATGTCAATACAGATTGATTTGAATATAATCGTCTCCTTCAAAGAATACGGTTCAAAACCTGCATTAAATAAAGGTTAATACTTAACCTGTTATTTATCTAAGATGTCGTTCAGAAGAGTTTTGTGACTGCCAATGGAATACAAAGTCAATAGTTCGTTTTTCTGATTTACCAATAATTGTCCAAAAGTCACATTGCCGGCTTTGATAATAGTCGACTCATGTATAATAATAAATGCGAATAATACAACGTCAATGTACCTTGTATGTGGCCAGAATGTTTCATATCGTGAATCGGTTGTCGTTTCTCAATTTTATATTCATGTTAACGATTCAAATTTCACCGAACAAAAATATAAATTGCTTCATTCGAAAGGATATTTTACGATCTTTGTAGTAGTACTACATTCGAATCTTTAAATTTATTGTTTCGGGGTAAGAGTTAAGTTTTTGGTGCTTATATATTATATCTCTGTACTCGTGGGTTTTATGAAAGAGAATTTAGATATTTAACGTGTTATGTTTTAATAACATTAAAGTGGAAGAAATGGCATTAAAATTATATAGTTCAATTAATATTCTTCCAAACCACAATATTACCTGGTAACAATATGTTTTGGTTTTGTCATTGATTTAATTACTTCAAATACTATGAAAACAAGTTATAAGCTAGGCATATATTTGTGTTTATTTTGATAAACATACGCATGAATCAATTATTTGAATTTAAATATCATGTTTTTATTGAAAGTCCGAATAAGTTTTAACAGCGTAAGCACTGCCAATAAAAGCTCAAGATTTAATAAATAATAGTTAAAAAAAAACTAAATTGATGAAAAGCGTACTTGGTTAGTTTTTTTAAACTATTATTTATTTTTCATTTTTTTAATATTTAATTGTCATCGGTCCATAATAAGTATACCTAATTTCGAGTTAATCCGACGTTTTGAAGGGGGTCAAAATCATGTTCAAAGATTCCGTTACAAACATACATGACATATGTATGTTGAAGCTAATAAAAGCGTATTAAAAACTAATAATAGGTACAAACCTAGCAGACTTTCCTTTTTTATATTTCATGTTCCTTCTTACGCTCACCCGATGGTGATTTCTCACCATCATTCGTGGACTTCAGCAATACCGATGGCACAATCAAGTCGCTTCCTACCACTGAGTACTTCCCTCCACAAGCCTCGTTTGAAGGAGGACATGTCATACGGCTCGAGAAACAACTTTTACTGGTGGTAGGATCCCTCGTGAGTCCGCACGGGTAGATACCACCGCACCGCCTAATTCTGCCGTGAAGCAAAATTGCGTTTTGGTTTGAAGGGTGGGGCAGCCGTTGTAATTATACTTGAGAACTTAGAACTTATATCTCAAAATGGGTGGCGGTATTTACGTTATAGATGTCTATAGGCTCCAGTAACCACTTAACACCAGATCGGCTGTGCGCTCGTCAACTCATCTAAGCAATAAAAAAAAAATAAAAAAAAAGGAGGGGAGGTCGTTGCAATCCGGACGTTACGTGGCAACGAATATCTCTGGAAACGCCCTATGGATGAACGCAGCGGTCCCAGATAGTACGGATGAACTAAGCTCCGGTGGCGGCAGGTGCGATCGAGATGGAAAGGAACTTACCTCGGACAATTACCCAGAGCAATCCCCATGGAATATTGTGTCGTAAAAGGGCTACCGCCACAGTCGTAGACCCATGTGCTTAGTGCGATTTTTTTTACGTTTTCGATAGCGTAAAAGTTAACTCAAATCTGTATGGGTTTGGGACGTTTGCCTACGTTTGCCGCTAGGGGCGCTGATGGCCTTTATGAAACTTAGGGTAAACAAAAACAAAACGACAATAAATAAGCAACAGCATTTTATTCAACATCATTAAAATATCAGATTTCTTTCGAAAACAATTCACTCGAAATTCTATGTAGGTTCGTACGCTAATTGCAAAAGCCCCACAGTTATTATAATTATAAAATATATACCTAATATTGCAACAACGGTATCACTTGCATTACATAAATATATAAACTTAAAAACACGGCTCGGCGTATGAGGACCAGAGCGGACTAAAATTTCCATTAAAACTGGTTGGGAGATTTAAAATTATTCGAATCAATAAAATAAACCCCAAAATTTAAATGAGGAGAAAAATTCAAAGAATTTATAATCGTTTCAATTTTATGTTAGATATACCGAACAGTGACGTCAGTGTTCAAATCCATATTCAACTTATTTAATTGTGTTCTTAAATGAATCGTATATTCAGTTTTTACTCAAGATCCAAAAGCAACCGAGTGTTCATGGTTATTTTTTAACGGACAAATAGCAAACGGATCAGAAGCAAGCAGCCTCAGCTATCAAGCTGCCAAATGTTAACTAATGAGCACACTTCACGCTGAGTCCGCGTGACTTTAACTTAGACCCCTCTGGTCCTCTTGAACCTCCTTGATCATTAAAAGACACACGTCATTTAAAATGATTTATTTTTATCGTAAAAAAAAAACTAAGTTCTAAAATCTCGAAACACTTAAATATATAAGTAGATTTACATTTTTACATGACTACAGTAAAAATAAGTACCTATAAAATTACTTTATTCTACAAATAAAATTTTCCTTATTTAATTTTCGTAAAACTAAATTTAAAGTACGTATCCGAATCTAAAAAGATACATACGAAAATTCAGTAGGAAAATCTAAAACATCGTTAGTATTAAATAAATAAAATCAATCGAAAATACCTACAATCCATTTTTTACATGCGCTGTGCGCAAGACATTCGCAAACATAATTAAAACTTTAACGATATCGTTACCATTAATGAATTAATTATCACTAATTTAAATGACGAACAATATAATAGTGAAGTGACAACCATAGTAATGTAAGGGCCGCCACACATAGCGCGGCTGGCGACGTCGAGCTATGCAGCGAGAGAGAACGAGACGGCAGTCTCTATCCGTCTCAGTCGCGCAACGCTCCGCCGCGGGCTGGGACATCTTTGCTTAGGCTAAAATAAGTTAGTTTACAAGCGAAGTCTATTCTAGTAGGTTCAGTTTGCTGTTGGTTTTGCGTAGCTGTGCGCGCCACGGTATTATCTTGGCCTTTTCGTCTTCCTCGTCGCGTTTGCCGTTCGACATCGAGTGACCTGGAACAAAGGTCATTAGGTACACAGTGAGTCGCGATTCCGATCCGGTGGTAGATTAACTAGGGCTAGTGTTAGCAAATTCTCAGGTACGGCCCGTGAGCTCGCCTACCGGTCACAGTATACCAAAATAGCTCCTTTGGCTACCAGTGAATAGACAGAGGAAAAAGTACATATTGATGTGTCCGTGGATGGACGTTCTTTTAGACATGAAATCGAAGCTTCTACAGTATTGTATAACGGCTGCCGCGCTTCAACACCAGGATGCATGACTATGAAAAGATATGGAACAAACCATTGCAGTTTTCAGTGGAGAGTTTAGCTTCAGAGGGCGCTCGCGGCGGCGGCGGCGCGTCGTAGCAAAGCGAGATGTTGTCGATGGAGACAGCCCTGGTGCCGTTGGGATAGGGCCGCCACTCGCCGTTCGAGTGACCGTTTGTTTCCTCAACTTTTGGCGTATATAATGTTTGTCTGTGGAATGGCGGAACATAGGGAGTTGTATGTTATTCATAACTTAAGAATACATTACAAATTAATGAAAATGATTTACCAAAAAACTTTAAGGGTTTAATTTTCTTTTTTATTGTCGAGGGACTAAAATGACCACGAAAATTAATTATCTGTAAGACTCGCTCAAAGAAAGCACTATATTCATTTACGTGTAAAGTTTATCTATATATATAAAAATGAATTGCTGTTCGTTAGTCTCGCTAAAACTCGAGAACGGCTCGACCGATTTGGCTAATTTTGGTCTTGAATAATTTGTAAAAGTCCAGAGAAGGTTTAAAAGGTAGATAAATATGAATATGCTCAGAATTAAATAAAAATAACAATTTTGTTTTTCCCTTTGAAGTGTACTCCGTCGGAAGGATTTCTTTTTTGTTTTAAGTTTATTTTATACAAAAGTGTAGGTCTTTTATTTATAGATTGAGGTACTACGAAGTCTGCCGGGTCAGCTAGTCTGTAATATTAATTAAAAGTGATTAACAAGAAACCAACCTCAATCGACTCTCGGCCTCCTCCCTCCGCTGCAGCAACTGTCTTTTCCACGCGGGCACGGAGGCAGCTCTTCGCCTCTCGGCCTCATCGGCCAGCTCCTTCTCTAAATCCTTCCGAGCTTTCTCGGCAGCCCTCCGCGCCATCATCTGTCGCTTCCACGCCGGGATCACGTTACCTGCCGCGTCCCTCTCCGGCACCTGCGGACACCCCTGCCGTCGAGCCCACATTCCAGAATATTTATTGGACATTACCATCTTAAGTTTATGTTGAAGAGTACTGTACTGTAGTGATTGAACTCTTCAAGGATGATGCGTGTTTGATTTACAAAAATTATATGTAGCTTATCTAAGTTTAGGAATCATAAAGTACCGCTTGCAGCAAGAAATCCATAATTTCTATACTTCATATTATAAATTTGAAAGTGTGTTTGTTTGCCTGGTTATTTGTTTGTTTTTTATCCTTTTACGACCGAACGATACAATGAATTGAGGTGATGCTTTCAAAAAAATTATAGTATTAAATCAAATTAGACATTGGCTACCTTTTATCCCGAAAAACATCTAATTCTATACACATACCAAGTTTGAGAGAAAGACAATTTGGTTTTTGTAATGTTTCGGACCCGTCACACGAAGCGACTTAAAGCGTTGTATATCATTGAATTGTCCTACATCCTTTATCTTTGCCACAATTCACACAACATTTTCAGTACATAATATAAAACTGGTTAATCTTATTTTTAACGTCTACAATTAAGATAATAAATGTTTTTAACAAATTCGTTAAAAATAATAACTTTGATTATAATCATTATTTTGAGTATATGATTTCAAGTATTATATTATTACAGGCGGCACTGAAAAATTGTTTAAATTTGAAGGCCATTAAAATTTGGTCGATAAAATTTATGACCCAGGAACCTTCACAGATCATTTTATCTAGAAACTAATTACAATTCACGTCTCAGAGCTGTATTTCAAGTCACTTATTATATTCATTTTTTTTTATTGTCTAGATGTGTGGACGAGCTCACAGCCCACCTGGTGGTAAGTTGTTACTGGAACCCATAGACATCTACAACTTAAATGCGCCACACACCTTGAGATGTAAGTTCTAAGGTCTCAGTATAGTAACAACGGCTGCCCCACCCTTCAAACCGAAACGCATTACTGCTTCACGGCAGAAATAGGCGGGGCGGTGGTACCTACCCGTGCGGCCTCACAAGAGGTCCTACCACCAGTAATTACGCAAATTATAATTTTGTGGGTTTGATTTTTATTACACGATGCTATTCCTTCATCGTGGAAGTCAATCGTGAACATTTGTTAAGTACGTATTTCATTAGAAAAATTGGTACCCGCCTGCGGGATTCGAACACCGTTGCATCGCTAAATACGAATGCACCGGACGTCTTATCCTTTAGGCCACGACGACTTCATTACTTCTTTTTTTATTTTATTTTTATTGTGATATCTGCAAACTTAATTATAATATTGATCCAATAAACGTAAAACATTTAAACATAGTCTAATAAAATAGTGTAAATAAAATCTACTGCAATTTTACATTTGCGGATAAGTTAATCGCATCTTCTTACAATTACATAACACGCGATCTCTGACCACCGACCGTGACCATTAACGGTAACCGTTTGACGTTCAAACGGTATCAGCTCTACCGTCTTACGGGATCGACATTTTACAGATATGTTATGACTAGATTCTAGAATCTAGATTATTAGATGTTTTTAAAGTTACGATCTGGTAAGGTTTGAAAAGATATTGGTACGCGACCACAGTGTCCTCTGGCTATTTACGAGAACAGACTAGCTCGCGGCCCACCTGGTTTTAAGTTTTTTTTATTGCTTAGATGGGTGGACGAGCTCACAGCCCACCTGGTGTTAAGCGGTTACTGGAGCCCATGGACATCTACAACGTAAACGCGCCACCCACCTTGAGATATAAGTTCTAAGATCTCAGTATAGTTACAACGGCTGCCCCACCCTTCAAAACGAAACGCATTACTACTTCACGACAGAAATAGGCAGGGCGGTGGTACCTACCCGCGCGGACTCACAAGAGGTCCACGTAAAAAGTGGTTCAGAGAGGCCATAACCCTACGTGAATGCCACCTATTTCGAGAAATGCGAACGAAAATAGAGAGCATGTCTGCTTTGTAACCGGAACCATATTAATTCAAGCCTGGGAATCAAATTACTGGTATTTATTTTTAAATTGAAGACATGAGTGGTTAAAGGGGATTTGATACAATTTGTTAACTTTGAGAAAACGGGCCACAAACTTTTGTTACTTGTACGTTTCTTCGTACATTTTCTATTTTATTGGTTAGATGTGTGGACGAGCTCACAGCCCTGCAGCAGCTGATGTTAAGTGATTACTGGAGCTCATACACATCTATGACGTAAATCCGCCACCCACCTTGAGATATAAGTTCTAAGGTCTCAGTATAGTTACAACGGCTGCCCTACCCTTCAAACGTAAACGCATTACTGCTTCACGGCAGAAATAGGCGGTACCTACCCGTGCGGACTCACAAGAGGCTTTACACAAATAATTTATCAACTCCTCCATCACGTGGAATTTCTAAAAATAGTAGCTTTTAAACCCGAAGTTTTAAGGTCTAATATGGATTATAGATACATAACACCTTCCTACACGGTAAAAACTCAAAAATTTTAAAAATGGAGACTTAACCTCTTCATCCAATCATGTCTTCAATTACTAAATTTATAGTTATCAAGATTTCACATTCTTATGTTGCATAATAAATTAGCTCTACATTTGACGTTCGCTACATAACACAGCTTATTATTATGAAGAAGTCAAACTAAGAGGAATTGCTTTAGAAAGACCCGTTTTTGATAGGCCAACAATAAAATTACTACGACAGGTATATAATAAATTAAAAGATTAACGAGAAATCTAACTAAATCTGTCCGTTTGTAAGTCACGTAAACACAATTAGCATAACACAGCATTACGATCGTATAACATCTACGTGTTTATGTCAAGTACAGAGTGAAATCTGATCAACTTTCGATGATGACTGTATATTTCGGGCAGACAAGCGCGAAAATTGCTTTTATTACTACAGTAGCGATGAGCACAGCGCGAGCGGTTTGGTTTTGCGCGTATTTTTTTTTTCTTTTTTTTATTGCCCTTGCAGGCTAACGAGCACACGACCAAAATGATGGTGAGTGGTTACCGTCGCCCATGGACTTCAGCAATGCCAGGGGCAGAGCCAAGCCGCTGCCTTCCGCTTAATACTCTCCACAAGCCTCGTTTGAAGAAGGACATGTCATAGCGCTCGGGAAACACCGTGGAGCTTTGGCTCATTCCAAAGCCGGATGGTACGTGGCAAAAAAGACCTCTGGAAACGCACTGTGGATGACCGCAGTGGCTCCAGGTAGTATGGATGAACTCTACTCCGGTGGCGGGCGGTGCGATGGTAAAAACGAGATGCCGGTATCATCTCGAATAATTCCTCAGAGCACTCCCCATGAAACATACGGTACAAAATACAGAGGGAGCCGAAGTCCCTCCGCAGACCGAGAGGTTCCAACCGAGCTTTACTTACTTCCTTGAGATTAGCCAGAGATTAATTAGATTTGATTTCTATAACAACAAAATGGCTTGTGCTGAGCGGTTATCTAAACGCCTTTTTTTATTGCTTAGATGGTTGGACGAGCTCACAGCCCACCTGGTATTAAGTGGTTACTGGAGCCCATATCTATTTCTTGTCTTATCTATTTCTAAGGCGAGATATTAATTTCGGTTCAAGGTGAGGAACATCTTTATGACGGCGAAATTTCAACCTCATATGTAAAATGAAGTCGTCGTGGCCTAAAGGATAAGACGTCCGGTGCATTCGTTGTTGCGATGCACCGGTGTTCGAATCCCGCAGGCGGGTACCAATTTTTCGAATGAAATACGTACTTAACAAATGTTCACGATTGACTTCCACGGTGAAGGAATAACATCGTGTAATAAAAATCAAACCCGCAAAATTATAATTTGCGTAATCACTGGTGGTAGGACCTATTGTGAGTCCGCACGGGTAGGTACCACCGCCCTGCCTATTTCTGCCGTGAAGCAGTAATGCGTTTCGGTTTGAAGGGTGGGGTAGCCGTTGTAACTATACTGAGACCTTAGAACTTATATCTCAAGGTGGGTGGCGCATTTACGTTGTAGTTGTCTATGGGCTCCAGTAACCACTTAACACCAGGTGGGCTGTGAGCTCGTTCACNAAAAAAAAAAAAAAAAAAAAAAAAATTAAAGGAGGATGCGGCATTATTTTCAGGATATCTATGGATTACTGCAACCATGATAATGAGAATATAAACAAAAGAAACTAAGATACTGCGGACTTTAGTAAAGAGTCTACAGGAAAATGACTCGAAGAGACCGCAGTCATATCATCCGTCGCTTTAGAATAATATCCGGAACATATTATCAACAAATTAAGGGTTAAAATATGACATTGCCGTTTTATTGTAATAGGTACTTCGAATTGACATAGAACCTCCATGGTTTGAGATTTTGGAGTGAAACTTTTTTCAAATGATACCTATAAGGTTGTTCTTTTAAAAAACACATTCCCTGATCGACTTTCAATTGTTTTTTTATTCAGCTTAGACAAAAATTGAAATGGATACTTCGAAAATTCGAGTGCTTTTTGAATAAGAGTTCCGACGCGGAACTAACGCTGCCCCTAATACTAACTCTTCGTTTGTGGTCAAACTTTTGCTAATGCTTAAGTCTGTGGTCAAATTGAGAATAGATTTGTTTGTCTTTAAAATTTCCTCTCAGGAATCTGTGATTATAGAAGTATAATATCCTTTAGACAATAGAACCATAATAATGTACAAACTTATAATTTCAATTACTTATAGTCGAATCTCGACTACTGGGGGACCACTAGTCATCATAAAATATCTAGGAAATGTAGATGGTCAGTAACTAATGTCTGAATTGGTGTTTGATTTTAAGCAAAGAAAAGTTTTAATTACATCATCGGCTGCCTTATCTCAAGGCGTTTCAATATTTGTTCTATGACAGTCAAAAAAATTATAGAAAGTGCTAACGAGATTACTTTTAACCGAATCATCTTTAAAGAACGGTTCCATTAAAACGTTTGGAACTAAAACAATTTTAACGCATATTTTATCGCCAATGAGCAGAAAATTTCA